GCTCTGCACCCGTGGAATGACCTGGCACCCTCCTCTAAGGATATCACCCTCTGCTGCAGGGACCTGGGAGCATCAGTTCTGGCCATCAGGTAGCCCACCTATATGGGATTCCCCTTGCTCCTTTGAGCTTCCTCTCTAGAGGAAAGGATCACCCGTCAATAGATATCTTGGGCTCTGTGACGAAGGCCTATCTGCCACCTCGTCCTTGCCTGAGGGGAAAGGCATTTTGCCAATTTGAGGACCCCTCTCCACCAACTAAGGTAACAGCTTACAGTGCCTGTACATCTTTATTTATACCACAACCCATGCAACACAAAACCCCTTGAGACTCAGAAAGTCCCAAATTAAGGTTTCCATGACAATACATTCCTCCCAATTCCCCGGGTTATCATGGAGCAATTATCCACGGCCCCAAAGCAGTTGTAGGAGATTTGATTCAGATGCTCCTAAAGGAGACCCTGAAGACTTCTTTGTCCCCTCAAATTAGAACATGGGTGGGAGACACAAACAGAAAGTGCCATTGTGCTGCTAGCTCACCATCTCTGGGAGCTGTTCCTGACAGTTCTGCTTTTTAAAGGGCTGGGCTGTATCACAATGAGATTCGGCTCTGCTCAGCAGAAGCTGCGGCCAGCCCCAGAACATTGCCCAAGAGCTCCAGCCCTGTCCTCACTGACCTGCTTCTCAATCCCCTCTCAGGATCTGTTCTGAAGCAACTGTGGGAGCCCTCATCTGAGGCCTAGGAGACAAGAGATGCCCACGGAGAAGCCTTAGGTCAGGAGCAGCGGCAGAGGAAGAAAGAAACAACTTAAAAAGCACTTAGGGCCCTGAACAGTTTGGCTCAGTGGTTAGAGAGTCGGCCTGTGGACCAAGAGTTCTGGGTTCGATTCCAGCCAAGGGCACATACTTTGGTTGCAGGCTCAATCCCTGATCCCAGTTGGGGCACTTGTGGGAGGCAACCGATCACTGTGTCTCTCTCACATCGATGTTTCTTTCTCTCTCTCCCTTCCACTCTCTCTGAAAAATCAATGGAAAAATCCTCAGGTGAAGATTGAAAAAAAACAACGCTTAGGGAAAGGTGCTTAGGAAGTTGGCCTGTGTAACTAGAAGGGGGGGAATCAGCGGGATGTGGGGTGAGAGGGGTGCCTTCCCACAGAGGATAGTGATTGAGCAGCTTCTTGGCGCCTCTAGATCAAAGGTTGTCAAAATTCTTCTGTAAAAGGCCAGACAGTAAATATTTTAGGTTTTGTAGGCCACATGGTCTCTGCACAACAACTTCATTCTGCAGCCACAGCAAAAAAGAAATAAGTGGGCATGGCTATGTACCAATACAACTTTGCTTACAAGGCCTGGGGGATAGCAGTTTGCTGACCTCTGCTCTAGACCCAAGAATGGGGACCTTAGAGGACAAGCCACCAGCCTCCCTTAAATAAATCCCTGCTAATCAAACACTAAGTGCCGATCAGATCGTTTTCTTGCCTGGTCACTATCTGGCCTGTGTAGCTTTTCACCTCCCACTGGAAGTGTGAGGCACTAATAGGAACGCTCCTGATGCAGAGCTTCTGGCCTCCACACAGACCTATTAGAGGTTGTTGAGAGCAATGGGCCCTCCCTCAGAAAAATGCATCTGTAGAGCACACACACAATCTGTTTGCATATAATCTCAAGGGTGTGCACAGCCCTTCTAAGGCTTATTCACAAACCACAGAGAAGCCTAAAAACCCTAGGGTAAGATCCCTCGCACTCAGGAAGAGAGCTAATTTCTTTGTACATGAAAGATGACCCTGTAGAAAAATAGGCAAATGACATAAAGAAGCAATTCACAGAATACAAATGATGACAAAATAGGGGTGAAAAGATACTCTGTTTCACTAACAAAGAAAAATTTTTAAAAATCATGGTATATCATTTTTCATCAGATCAGATTCGCTAATGTTTAAAAGATTGATGACTGGGTACTGGAAGGGGTGTGGAGAAAAGAGCACTCTCATACATGTTGGTAGGATGGCATCAGTACAGTATAACCTTTTGGAAAGACCATTTGACAGTATACATTAACATTTAAAACATGCTGAGCCTGGGGCCCAGCAGTCCCACTTCCAGGAATTTATTTTATAGAAATATATGTACAGGAATGTTGACTTCAGCAGCATCATAAATCAGAAAAATTGGAAACTAACCCAAGTGTCCATTAGTAGGAAGCTGGTTAAATAAATTATAGTATATCTGTATTATAGAACTACATGGAACTCTTTAATAATGAGGTAGATCTCTAGAGCTTAAAATAAGGTAGATTTCTAAGCACTGGCAGGAAAAGATATAACAGATAAATTGTTAAGTGAAAAAGGCAAGTAGTAACAGTATTTCTTTAAAAAAAACCCCAACATTGGTATATGCAGATTATAGGATTTTATTTATTTATTTATTTATTTAATCCTCACCTGAGGATATATTTTTTTCCATTGCTTTTCAGTGAGAGTATAAGAGAGAGAGAGAGAGAGAGACATCAATGTGAGAGAGACACATAGATTAGTTGCCTCCTGCACACACCCCAATTGGGGCCAAGCCTACAATCGAGGGATGTGCCCTTGGCCTGAACTGAACACGGAACCCTTCAGTCTGAGGGCCGACGCTCTAACCACTGAGCCAAACCAGCCAGGGCTATGCAGATTTTTTTAATTTTAAAAAAAATATATCTTTATTGATTTCAGAGAGGAAAGGAGATGGAGAGAGGGAGACAGAAACATCAATGATGAGAGAGTCATTGATAGAGCCCACAACCAGGGCATGTGCCCTGACCAGGAATCGAACCCCGATTGCCTGGATCCTAGGTCGACGCTCAACCACTAAGCTACGCCCGGCCGGGCCAGATTGTTTTTAAATACTGAAGAGATACATTCTAAACTGATAAAGGTGGGCTTACAAAATTTTACAGTCTATACTTTATACTTTTTTTTTTAATATATCTTTATTGATTTCAGAGAGAGGAAAGGAGAGGGAGAGAGAGAGATGGAAACATCAATGATGAGAGAGTCATTGATCGGCTGCCTCCTGCACGCCCCCAACTGGGGATGGAGCCTGCAACCCGGGCATGTGCCCTGACCGGGAATCAAACCCTAATTGCCTGGATCCTAGGTTGACACTCAACCGCTGAGCCACACCCAGCCAGGCTATACTTTATACTTCTAAAATATTAACTTTTTAAAATAAAAACAATTTTCTTTCATAATTAAAAAAAGAAAACAGGTCCTTATGGGCTTAATAGTCTCCCCTAAAGGTTTCTTAGACAACAACAAGTTCATTTTAAAGACTTTCTTAGAGAGGAGTCAGGGTATGGTGGTTTTTATCTATTTGTCTTATGCTTTATCACAATAAAGCATCTTTCTGCATCTCAGAGCATAAACTCCTCAAGCTCAAGGGCCATCTCTTTCTCTTATCCCAAAATTCAGAACTGCCATGACAGGCATAGAGTGACTAAAATAACAGAGTAATGCTAGGTTTTTAATTTTCATTTTGATGAAACAGTTGGTCATTTTCATGCTGTCAAAGAACAAACAGAACCATGACTCCTGTTACAGTTTACACAACTTAGTAGAATTTGTGGACTGTTGGCAGTTCTAACAGATTTCCTACAGTTTCAACATTTATTTACCTCTGGGTACTTCAGAGGGGGAGGGAATATATTTCTTTTCTTTAATCTACCTGGTTAAAAAAGTCAAAATAAAAATACACAAAAGACTACAAACCCAATATCTCTCACTACACTGGAGCAAGGCAACCAGAGTGCCCAGATCTGTGTGTGTTACCCACTCCCTGAGCATACCACATAATACATGGCCCTGTGCCATGGCCTTTCTCACCTAACAGAGGCGCCACTGAACATTCCATTTCCAAGGACCCAGACCCAGACAGTTGACCCTTCCCACCAGGGTAAAGTTAACAAGGCAAAGCATAGGAAGGCCAGAAAAGACACTGGGCCTGGTCTGGCCTCTGGCTTGCAGCCTGCAGGCAAGGGGTCACAGAGATGCCAGCACCTCTTCAAGCTCCTTACAAGAAGACCAGCAGTCCCCGGGGCGCCCACAAAGCTAAACAAAGGCCCTCAACAGCTTGACTCCTGATGCCTTAGTGGAAAGAGCAATCAGAAACCAGAGCATCCTGCAAATAGTGATGGTAGGTATTGTGTCATAAAAACTTTTCATGGGGAAACTGAGGCAGGCCAGACTTTCCTGTTGGACAGAAATCTCTTTGAAAAGCCTATTATTCTCACTTCTTTCCCAATGGCTAGCTCTGAAAGGCACCCTTGCCCGACTGGGCAAGCCTGCAGACAGCTTCCTTCTTCCTCCCAGGAAAAATACTTTTAGCTTTCTTTGACTTTTTTTCCTTAACCTGAACCTTCTTGCAGTCTCTCTCACCTCAACAAGGAGCACATTCCATGGCGTTCTGGTGCTACCAATAAGGGGGTGCTCAGCATCCTGAGAAAACACCTCCTTCCCTAGAGGAGCTCTCTGTGTCCTGGCATTCCAAAAACCAAGAAGAGAGGCAGCCTGTGTGCTCCCCTGAATTTCTCACTCAGTTCTGGACAAAGGCAATGGTTTGGGGTGGGGAGATTCCGAGGGAGGTTTGTTTTTAGGTTGTACTGTTAGCCAGAGCTGTCATGAAAAATAAGAGAAAAGGAAGTGGGTGGTAGCTTTTTTCTCCCTGCTCCTGTCTTCCCTGGACACATGGCTAGTAAGCTGGCTTCCTCAGGGCCTAAGCCAAGGTCAGCAGGGAGGGGATGGGCCCACTCTGAGAGCCGTGCTCTGCTGTGCCTGCAGGACCTCCCCAACTGGAGAGGCCGCAGATGGCTTTGCTGTCTGGCCACTTCACCATCAGCAGCTCTCTTGTGCTTAGGATGTCCAGGCATACGCAGGCGAATGAAAGGCAAAGAAATTGAAGCCAATAAAAGCTGCCTCAAATTCACAGGGAGATGACTGAATTGAGATCTTAAAGAAACTGATACTTACTGTTAATGAGGTGAAAGTCATGCACATCCCACCAAAGCCATTGAGAGACAGGGAGATGAAGATGAGCACAGAGAGAGCTGTAAGAAAACAGAAGGCACATAATCAGGGGACCACAGCTGAGCTTCAGGGAGGCCGGGGCTTGGGAACTTACTAAAGGTGCCTCCCCATCCTCTGTTCTCCACTAACTTGAGCAGCAAAAGAGAGGCCTAAAGAAGCTGCTTCACTGAAACAAACAAAAAAAAGTACCCCCAAATCAATAGATGGTGAAACTCAAGTCCTATTTTGGTATTTGTTCTAAAAGTCCTTGAAGCAACAGCTCCACCTGAACAGAGTTGGGGACTGGGTGGCTTCTAAGTTCACAATTCTGCACACAACCCTGCAGCTCGCCTAGTTCTTGGAACTTGCCTCTCAGGTTGGATCAATGAGGCCATGGCAGACTGGCCTAGTTTGGTGAGTAGATAGGAGTTTTGCACACCCTGGGATCTGCCCTCAGACATCAGTCTGGGGTGATTGTTCTTTTACCCAGTCACCCATTTGAGATGAGCAACTGGGTAAAGGCCTAAAAAGCATCCCCTCTAACTTGCGCAGTGAGCACCAGCCCTGGCACAGCGTCCTAGAACAGATGGGCCTGTGAGCATCTCTGGGCACTCTCCCCAGTCCCTGATAAAAGGGTGGAGGAAAAGTGTCCTCACAGTTTGGGTTACTTGCTCCATATGCAATCAGCAAGCAGGAGACAGCAAAGCAGGCACTAAAAACAAGCAGAAATAATACATTATTTCTTATTATTGTTATTGTTATTATTTGGGAATATTTACTATGTATTAGATACTTCTGGAAATTTTACATACAATACTTAATTTAATTTATCAATTCTAAGGAGTATAATTGACCCCATTTTACTGATGAGAAAAAAAGAACAAAAAAAAGAACTGATTTCTCCAAAGTCTCCAACTAATAAGTGCCTAAGCAGGAATTCAAGCCTGGAAGCCACATCTGAGAAACACCACACTGCACTGCCTCCTCCCATCCCCCAGACTGAAGGGAGTCAAGGCTCTGAAGAGAGAGAGGACACAATCCATGCCCCAGGTGCCTATGCTCACTCAGCCAGGGATGGACAGAACCCACTGGGCATGGGCGAGATGAGTGCCAGCTCCTGAAACCCCTCTAAAGAGTGATGGAAAATGTTCCACCACCCATTCCATCCTGGGTTACAGATCTCGCTCATTGCAAACCACTGTCCTATGAGATGATCATTCCCAGTGGGACTGGCTTGTCGAGGCCGAGATCTGAGAGGCCAGTTGCTGTGTGGACTGACCTTCAGTCTGGTACACTGGAACTTTACATACCAGAGACACATGCCCCAGAGGGTGCACATGATGATCCACGCAGGTGCCCGTGGTAAGGAAAATATTAGGACTTCTATCTTACAACTTTTAATCTCAGCCAGTTTAATTTATATTTTTGTATATGTATCAAAAAGCACATAAAAAATTAAGAATGGCATATGTATATATAATTGATAATTCCATGTACTTATATTAGAGGTATATTTTCAAAACCTTGTTTTTCCTGATAGAGGTAGAAGGTCAAAAAGACCGTGGAAGTCTTAATGACAAGAAACTCCAGACCCTCCCAGGCCCTGGGCCTTTTTAATGCAATATTGGCACATTACAGGATCATAGTACCTACTGATTTGGTGGCAAATGGGGTAGAAACTCTGGGTGGGCATTTAGGAAGCTCCACAGTGTACCTGATAGCAGGTACCAGATGGGTAATTAGGGAACTCCCCAGTGTACCTAATAGCAGGTACCAGGATTCCCTAGTGAGGAACTCAGCCGAGGATCCGCCAGCCAACCTCCCATCCCCACACTGACCTGCCCAGCAGCCTGAGCTTCCTTGGGCCATACTTGTCCATGACGATGCCCAGGGGCAGGGTGATGGCACTGAGCAGGAAGGAGCCCACGGTGAAGGCCAAGTTTAGCATCTCATCCTGGGCCTTGCAGCTAAGCCAACCATTCATCCAGCTCACCTCTTCCTCTTGCTCTGCTGTGCCTCCCCCTGTGCCGTTGGTGACATTCACTGTGTGTGCAGAGGGAGAGAAACCTGATCACAGGGTCATGGCAGGGATTCCCAAAGATCAGAGGCAGGTGCACATTCAAAGTCACCCCAATGGGAATGCAGGGCTGTCTCTGGGCCACCTGAGGGCTCAGGCTACACCAAAGGAGGCTTGGATGTCCATCTGGCCCAAGCCCCCTGGAACGATAATGGAGAGGTTCTTGACTTTGTGGAGGTCATAGATCCTTTGGTGAATCCAATAAAGAAAGCTATGCTCCTGTTCCCCAGAAAATGTAATCAAAGTCTTACCCATAATTTCAGGTGCTTCATGTGTCCCTTAAAGCAACCATGAGCCATAGGTTGGGATTCTCTTTCTAGAGTCACCTGTACCCTAGAATAGTAGACCTCAGGACCCAGCCTTCACAGTGGGGCCACAGGTTGGCTAGAGTCTTCTGAGCAGCTCTGTCCATGGAAACAGATTGCAGCCAGTATATAGGAGGCCGACCCTAGACCACCTGGGAAGGACAAGCTGCTGGTTTCACTGCAATGCCCTGGGGTTCTCCTAGGTCAGTGTGGAAAAGACCCCCTTTACTGCTAAGGACAGTGGACTTCTCAAATATGCAGTCCATATGCTACCTCCTCCCCTCATATTTTCATTTAATCAACCACCACATATACCGTGTTGTAGAACCCCTTGGGAAAAGATTTTAAAAATAGTCCAAACTTATTTGCTTTCACTTCTTGAGGTATACTTTTCTTATTTTTCTCACTAGAGTCACCACATTTGCTGTCCCTGAGGCCACACCTGTGCTATCATCCTGGCCTTTAATGGCCCTCTCCAAAGTCCACCCAGCACCAAGACAACAAAAATAGGAAGGAAAAAGTGCTGCAGCAGCTGAAGGCAGGAGGGTGGGGGACAGGTTGGGAACATAGCTGAAGAACTCACTCCTCTCTGGGACTGCTAGTTATGAGATGCTGACTAATCCTGCAGAAAGAGGAGTGGCCTCTGATTAGATTTGAGGTAACAGTGGAAGAGACAAGGAAATACCTCTCTTCAGAGAAGTGCGGGCCTCCAGATTGCAGCCCTCTGGCGCCAGGGCTGTAAAGCTGAGGTTGCAAAGGCCTGCCCAGGCCTCTCAGGGCTGCCCCAAGGTCACAGGAAAGGATGCACTTTGGGTGAATCATGCCATATGCCAACCTCTAACCAACAAGCCCTCCTAAGGGCACGTTGATTGAGGGTGAGGTGCTGGTTTTCAATTTTGGTTCCTCCACTTCCTACTTGTATGACCTTGGAGAAGTGACTTAATCTTGCTCTTTCTCAGTTTTTTAATTTGTAAAATGAGCATAATCTAACAATTAGTATCTACCGCCTAGAGTTTTAGGGAAGATAAGAAAATCCAGTAACATTCTAGAGCTCACACAAGCATAGAAAGTGCTCAATAAATAAGAGCTGAAAGTTATTATAATTACTATTATTGGAGGCTCAGGATGGTGCAACCAACTGGCAGCAGAGCCTGATGAAGTAACTTGGAGCAGAGTTCCATAACTGTGTATGTGGTAGCGTGGATTTGTGTCTAGTCTCCCACTGGGCCGGGGGACTTGGGGGGCAGGGACTGTGTTCTGGTCACCTGTGTCCTCAACACCTTATTCAGACCCTGGTGTGGAGCAGTTGTTTACTGAATTAATGAGACAAATGGACTCAGATCACAGTGGTCAAAAGGATCAAGAGAGAAGGAAATAGGACATACAGAAACAAGTTGAAGACAGAGGGGATTTAAGGAGATTAGAGCCACAATGTTAACCTCTTAAAGTCACAGAAACAAAGCCTAACAAGCCAGATTCCTACCCTACCCAGCCCACTGCTTTCTCTCAGTTTTCCAAAAGAGGCCCCACCACACTGGCAGCCCAAACAGGCAAACAGAGTTACCCAAGCTCATTGGGATCCACCTCAAATTGTCATACATGCTGCTTAGCTGGAAGGGCCGAGCTGCTCGCCCACTGTGGGGCAGCTTCTGGGAAGGCAGAGCTACTTCACAGGTTGGTACTGGCTTCAGGTATCAGCCCTGCCAGCAGCAACAGGAACTGGATGTGAAGTGGGACAACAGCCATTTCAGGTTGGTGTGCCAATATGAGCAAACCAGCACAGGTGTGACAGAGGGGATGGGTGGAGAGGGTCCAGGATTGCTAGCCTGTAAACCTGACTGTGTCCGTGCAGGGTCTAGAGCCCATCATTGCACTCAGTGCTGCAGGGTCTGCTGCTGTCAGCAGGGAGCCATAGCTGGATGGGACATCAGCATCGAGGCAGCACTGTCTCTGAGTAAGGCATCAGGGTGCCCTACCCACAGGTTCTCCAGAGAGGAACTACAGGAGACCCTCAAATCCATGATTGCACTCACTGAGAGAGAAGATAAAATCCCAAGGCAACATACCCAAGGCATCTCCCTAATTTGCTATAAGTGAGATGGGGTGCAAACATCTGAATTGTTTAGAGATCTAGTCACCCCTATAACTAGAGGGTTCATGAGGAGACAGGTCAGAGTAGAGGAAGGGTCTCTGTCCCTCCCATCTTTTATCCTAGAGCCACTACACAAAGAAACAAATACCTTACTTTGGGCTACCAGCCTTCTCTTCTTAAACAAGTCCCTGCCAAAGGGGTCAGCTGGCCCTCTGCCCTTCTGCCTTCAGGCAGTGATGTCCAGCATCAGATAAGCCAGGGGTGGGTGGAAGTGCCTGAGTGGCCCCTTGTTTGTCTATGGAGCAATATGAGAGTGTCCCTCACTCTAGAGCAACTTAAACCATCAGTGAGCCCAGAAGCTTTGTTGGCAGTAAAACTGCCCACATGAATAAACACAGATCCAGCAGATGCCCAAGCACAATCACACCCAGGCTGCTCCTCTCCCTCTGCTCCCACCTGGGCCATGGTGGGCCAGGAGAAACACAAAACAGATAAGCACCAGGAAGTGTCAAGGCCCTGGGGTGTCCCTCTTCTCCCAGCCTACAGCTCAGTCCTCACCCCAGGCCAGCCTGTTCTGTGCCTCACCTGTACCTGTTTAGTAAACAGATGCCTCTGCAGTGGGGGGTCAGAGTGGCCTGACCCAGCCCAGTTGGGGAAGGTGAACCAAGAAGACAGGACAGGAACTGGTGTGGCCAGAGTATGCTGAGAACAGGTGTAAGACTGCTCAGGAGGAAACCCAGGCACAGGGAAGAGGGAACAATGCCTGTACTGTTCGGTCTCACTCACAGTACACTCACACACAAAATCTTTACAGAGAAAGAAGGGAAGAAAAGAGGGTGCTGTGACCCCACTCAGGCTCCTCTGACATCTTTGGGTCAAAGAGGGGGCTCCCCCCATCCCGGGAAAATAAAGGGAGTGGGAGCCTCCAGAATAGCTGGCTGGATGATGCTTGAGAGAGCAAAGGGTACTGGGCTGGAGGCCACTTAAATTCCTGAGTAGCCTTCTGACTGGCTGCTGAATGAGTGCGCCCCTGCCTGGGGGACCCCTGGACCACTGGGGTGATGGTCCCTGCCCCAGGATCTCCTGTCTCTCTCAAATCCTTAGTCTATGGGAACAGGAAGCAACATCTCCAGTGCAGCAGGGGGGATATAGGTGAGAGGTCAGCTTCAGACACAGAGCAAACAAGAGGCAGGACACAGTCAGAGGGTCCTGCTGGGTAGGCCAGGGCCAAGCCCCTTAGCTGTGGTCACAAGTGCCTGTGTGTGCTGGAGGTTGTGTTCAATGCTATTTGTTCCTGTGTCACTTGGCACCCTCCCACCCCATATCCCACACCAGGATACCAGGAGTTTCAGAACAGGTAAGTGGCTTGCCCAAGGTCTCATAGCCAATACTTGGGGAAATTGGACTTGAATCCAGGCTGTGAGACTCCAAAGATCGTGCTTTTAACCTTCAGGCTGTGCTGATGCTATACTACCTGGGTTAGAGGCAGTTCTGAGAAAATCCTGAGAACACAAGGCTGTCACAGTGTTGGGGCAGTACCAGGTGGACCTTAAAGTCACCTAGTGAGAATGGGACTGCTCCCAAGATCCTCCCATGAGGTCCCTGAAAGGCAACCCAAGTTGGACAGGACCTTAACAGGATACCAAGAAGTCAGGCAGGGTGAGCAGAGGATGTGGGGGAGAAAAATTAGGTCATGAAATGGGAAGGAAGACGGAAGGTTTGGTGGGGAGGGCTGAGGGCACCAGCTCCTCTCTGCGACACATCCTGAGGCTGTGGGCACCAGCCTTTAGACTTTTTTACCCATTGCTACAATTTTTATTTAATCCAAAATACACTGGGGAGGGGAGTGAAAACGGTCATATTCACGGCAATAAAAGTGAAAGGGCAAGTTTTCAAAAGCTATCAACCACTAACCCTTGGGTGTAGGAGACCATAAAAAGGGAAGGCCTCATAAGCGACTGGCATGAAATATTCAAAGTGATAAAAAGCAAGGACCTACAACCAAGACTGCTTTCCCAGCAAGGCTATCATTTAAAATTGGAGAAATAAAGAGCTTCCCAGACAAGAAAAAAGCTAAAGGAGTTCATCACCACCAAACCAATATTACAAGAAATGTTAAAGGGTCTTCTTTAAGAAGAGAAAAAAATACACACAGAGACATAGTTAAAAGAGTAAAATGGCAATAAATACGTACCTATCAATAATCACTTTAAATGTAAATGGCTTAAATGCTCCAATCAAAAGACATAGGGTAGCTGAATAGATAAGAAAACAAGACCCATATATATATGCTGTCTACAAGAGACCCACCTCAGAATTAAAGATACACACAGACTCAGAGTAAAGGGATGTAAAAAGATATTTCATGCAAATGGAAATGAAAAAAAGAAAGCTGGGATAGCAATACTTATAACTGACAAAATAGACTTTAAAATAGCCCTGGCCAGCATGGCTCAATGGTTAAAGTGTCAGCCTGTGCACCAAAGGGTTGAGGGTTCAATTCCCAGTCAAGAGCAGGTACCTGGGTTGCAGGTTTGATCCCTGCTCCCAGTTGAGACATGTGCAGGAGGCAACCTGTCACAGCAATGTTTCT